GAGGGGTTTTCAATTGTTTACTTTTAATATGTGGAGTGAGAAAAAATCTGATCACGTTTTTCCATCCAAATTCTCTCCATTGTCTCGAACTGGTTGAAGTGTGCTGTAAAAGACATATGGAGTGCCAATCCTCCTCTGACAATTCAATTTGTAATTCTTTTTCCCATTTCTGTTTGATATATAAGGAGTTATTCTGGGGGACATTTTGCAAGCATTTATATAGTCTGGATACAATTTTAGAGGGTAAACATCGATATGCTCCAATAATGATTTCCAATAGGTCACTCTTTTCCTGTGAAGTCTGATTTAGAATTTCTGTATTAAAAAAATGTCTTATTTGGAAGTATCTAAACAAATCGGATTTATCAAGGTCAAATTCCCGCTGTAATTTTCCAAAAGATTTAAATACTTTTCCATCTGTTAGTGTACACATAGATCCCCCTCTTTGTCCATTTTGTAAATGTGCTATCTAATTGGCCACTTTTAAATTTTGGATTAAAGGCTGGCCACCCCAACAATTTGCATTCACCTTCAATTTTGCGTTCACTCACTACTTCCCACCAAACTTTTAAAGTTGTTTCAATGATTGGGTCTAGATCACCCGATTTACAAGTTTTATCACCCAATCTAATTTGTGGTGGACATGATGAGTAATTTAGCTCAATACGTTTCCATTTAGCATCATATTCTGATGAGCACCAGTGTACAATGTTTCTCAGTTGGGCAGCTTGAAAGTATTGTTTAAAATTAGGTAGGGCAAGCCCCCCACTTTTTTTATCTAGCTGTAGCGTTTTTAATCTGACTCTGGGTTTTGTACCTTTCCAAATGAATCTGCTGACTAATTTGTTCCATTTAGCAAATTGAGACTCTGGTATGTTTATTGGGAGAGACATGAACAGATAAAGTAATCTAGGCAAAATATTCATTTTTATGACCTCTATTCGTGAACTGAGATCCAAAACAAGGGAAGACCACTTTGTGAGATCTTTTTGAATTACATCATTAATGTTTTTGTAATTAACTTTGTATAATGCACTTGTTTCTCTAGGTAAGTAGACACCTAGGTATTTTACCTTGTTTGAGTCCCACTGCAGTTTGTATTCCTGTCTGATTGAATCTATAGGGCGATAATTAATACATAGTACTTGAGTCTTGGAGATATTTAATTTATATCCAGACTTTTCTCCAAAGTGTTGTAGGATTTGCATTAATTGGGGGAAAGTAGCATCAGGGTTCTGGAGGAATAAGATTATGTCATCGGCAAAGAGTCCTATTCGATGCTCCTCCTTGGATATTGTGACTCCTTTAATGTCATCACTTTGCCGTATATGCTGAGCTAATGGCTCAATAAACAACGCAAAGAGTGCGGGGCTTAGGCCACAACCCTGCCTCGTACCTCTAGAAAGCTCAAAGCTATCCGTTAAGTCACCATTTATTTTTATTCTGGCCGTTGGCCTGTGATACAAGGCCTGGATAGAATTTATAATGGCTTCATTAAAGCCCATTCTTTTCAGAGTAGCAAATAGAAAAGTCCATGAGACCCTATCAAATGCCTTTTCGGCGTCGAGGCTTAGTATAGCTGTCGGAATATTTTGTTTATTAATTTCATTCATTATGTGCAATGTGCGCCGTATGTTGTCTTGTGTTTGTCGGCCCTTTATGAATCCTGTCTGGTCTTCATCAATGAGGTCTGGAAGAAAGAGCTCAATTCTTTTAGTAATTATGGAGGTGAATAACTTGTAATCTACATTTAAAATAGAGATGGGGCGGTAGGACTCGCAATACTCCTTATTTTTGCCTTCTTTTGGTATAACTGATATTATAGCCTCCTTCCAAGAGGGAGGGGTCTTTGCATGCCGAAGTGTCCAATTGAAAGATTTTAAAATGATGCATATTAGATCGTCTTTGAACATTTTGTAAAATTCATTAGGATAGCCATCACTCCCTGGGCTTTTATTGTTCTTCAATCTTTTAATTGCTTTGTCGAGTTCTTCTCTAGTAATTGGTTTAGTTAAAGATTCATTTTGGATGTTTCCGATAGAAGGGAGATCTAAATTATTCAAATAATCTACTATTTCGTCTGCTGTTATTTGGTTTTCCTGGTCATATAGAGTTTTATAATAGTTTAGAAAAGCCTTTTTAATTTGTCTTGGATCATTTCTAATTTCCTTACTTACTGGATCTCTAATCTTATTAATTGAATTCCGCACTCGTAGTGAACGCAGACGTTTAGCCAATACTTTAGTCGCTTTAGGACCTGAGTCATAAAAAGTTTGTTTGGTGAATCGCATTTTCTTTTCAATGTCTTCGTTTGCCAAATCTGTCAATTGTTTTCTTACATCTCTTATGCTTTGTGCCATAGTATCACTGGTATCTATATGCTGTTGTTTTTCTAGTTGCCTCAATTTTGTTTCCAAATTTGATTGTCTCTGTCTTTTCCTCTTATTAATATGGGCAGTCCTTGATATCAAGCTCCCTCGCATTACGGCCTTGATAGTATCCCATATAATCGTTGGCTCTATTTCAGGATTATTGTTATAATTAATGCATTCTTGTATTTCGTTTCTAATTTCCTGTACAACTTTTTCATTGTTAAGAAGGCCAATGTTCATTCTCCATAATGTTTTCCTTTTTTCATTTTGCAAGTGTATAATCAAATTTATGGCATTATGATCTGACAAATCTGCTATTCCAATATTACAGTCTATAACTCGATGTCTGTCTATGCTGTTCATCAGAAAAAAGTCAATTCGTGAATGAACTTTGTTGCTGCTGAGAAATGAGTGTAATCTCTTTCCAGAGGGTGCAGGTCTCTCCAGACATCACAGAGGTCCAATTCCTTGATAAGTGAGTTTAGGGCTTTTGATTTATTGTTTTTGGATCTTTTATTACTTGTTGAGTCTTTTATGTGATCTAGGACAGTGTTCCAGTCACCGCCACAGATTAGTATCCCCTCATTCAGGCTGGAGATCCTGTCAAATATTAGTTGGTAAAATGTTTTATCAATTTCTGGAGGAGAATACACATTTATTAAATTAACCAGTGTATTGTCAATTCTCCCCTTCACAGCAACATATCTACCTTCATTGTCACAGTCCTCCTCCAGTATCTCAAAATTAACTGCATCTGAAATTAAAGTTATCACTCCTCTTCTCCTGCTATTTTTATGTGAACTGTAGAAAGAATTACTGTAACCAAACTTTTTGAATTTTTCATGCTCTTCTCTAGACATATGAGTTTCTTGAATGAATATGACTTGTGCTTTATCCTTCTTTAACTTTGTTAATAATCTACTTCTTTTTATGGGGTTACCCAGACCATTTATATTTATTGACACAACTTTCAGCTTAGTTCCACCACTCATATTGTGCAGTTTTCAAAACTGTAGACCCCACAGACGAACAAGAACAACAGACAGGAACAAAATAAAAAACAATCATAACTGTGGTATACGAACGATACCTGTGACTCCCACTAGGTGGGGAAAGAGTCCTTTCCTCCTCGTCCCCGTTGGCAGGTCTAGGGTCAATGCCTCCTCGCTGGAGGGGCCCTAAAAAAGGTATGGAAGCTGGTTCTTCCATCCTAATTGTCCAACGTCTGGTCTTCAGGTGCTGCTCCTCTTTCTTGTATTAAATTGGCCATATTTCTGCAGAAATCAATACAGAAAAGCGAGAAGCCTATAATCGTTCGTCCTCGCCTCTTTGGAACTCTCTCAGTCTTTCTTTAGCCCGCTGCGCAGTGGATGTTATCATTTCTCTCCGTGGGCGTGCACCCCGTTGCCACTCCACGCACTTCTGAATCCTGGCCGTGTCCTCGTCGCTGGTTGCTGGCACCTGCACGTCGTATCCCCGTCTCTGCAGCTCGCATCCCGCGTCATGCGCGCTTCTGTAAACTGCAACTCCATCCTGCCAGTGAACTCGTATGCTTGTGTATGGCGTTTGGAAGCGCACGCCTCTCTCCTTCAGTGCCTTCTTAATCACTTGATATTCCTTGCGCCTTTGGACAATCTCTGTAGCATAGTCGTGGTCAAAGTATACAGCATTGCCGTTCAGCTGGATCCGCCCCTTTCTCCAAGCCTCTCTCAGGATCAATTCTTTCGTGGTGAACTCCTGAAAGTTCACCACGATGGGTCTTGGCGGGGCACCGGGGTTTCTGTGCGGGGACGCAGTGAGCCCGTTGTATCTTTAGCTCTATGCCCGTCAGAGGTAACTCGCGCTGGAGAAAGTCCGCCATGAATTGCATTACGGATGTGTTCTCCTCTCCTTCTCTCACTCCAAAAAGACGAATATTATTTCTACGGGACCTGGATTCGAGGTCAGTAACCTTGGATTGCAGGTTTCTTTGTCGTTTGAGGCATTCAGAGAGCGCCTCTGTCAGCACCAGTGTCACGTCCTCCACCTCGGACACTCGAGTTTCCGCAGTCCCCATTCGCTCTTTCAAGTCTTGTATGTCCTCAGTCACCGTATCCAGTTTGTTGCTCAGTTCCAGTTGCATTGTATTTATATTACTTCTCAGCTTTTCGTTGTCTTCTTTCAATTCGGATTTGAGTGACTCGATAGCCCGGAGCAGATCGCTCGTAGTGACTCCAGGCCCGGTTGCACTCGAGTTAGCTTGATCTGCTACAGGGTTAGCATCTCCCGATGGAGCGCTCTTTTCTTGCTTTCTATTCGGCATTCTGTAACTTCTTGGCCTCTACACGTTCCTTTCCCACCTATCAGTTATCTTTACCCAAACCGAGTCGCGTGTTTTCGAGTTTAGGTGGGAATTTATTTTAAATTAGGGAGCAGCCACCACGCTTTGGTCCGTCTCAGATCGCCATTACACCGGAAGTCCGTAAAACTAATTTTTATAATCAAATATCTCTGAACTACTGTTCTCAGTTAAAGATGTGTTTGAAAAGAGCATGATTTAAAAACGCCTTTTGAAGAATTTGGGCCATTTAATGACATACAAATATTACATACTGCTACTTTAACAGACCTGAGCTGATTGGTTCTCACCTCCCCTCCGGTCGAGGCCTCTGATTGGTTGTTGCAATGGAAGTCGTCTGTCGTTTCTTCGATCGCTCTTTGGACAGAGACATTTTCTCTTTCTCGTTTTCCCGCTCTTTGTCCTTCTTCTCCTTCTTCTTCTCCACCTGCAATAACATGAGAGAGAGAGACCAGAGAGAGAGACCAGAGAGAGAGACCAGAGAGAGAGACCAGAGAGAGACACCAGAGAGAGAGACCAGAGAGAGACCAGAGAGAGAGACCAGAGAGAGACACCAGAGAGAGAGACCAGAGAGAGAGACCAGAGAGAGACCAGAGAGAGAGACCAGAGAGACCAGAGAGAGAGACCAGAGAGAGAGACCAGAGAGAGAGAGAGAGACCAGAGAGAGAGCCCAGAGAGACACCAGAGAGAGAGACCAGAGAGAGAGACCAGAGAGAGACCAGAGAGAGACCAGAGAGAGAGACCAGAGAGAGAGACCAGAGAGAGAGACCAGAGAGAGACACCAGAGAGAGAGACCAGAGAGAGACCAGAGAGAGAGACCAGAGAGAGAGACCAGAGAGAGACCAGAGAGAGAGACCAGAGAGAGAGACCAGAGAGAGAGACCAGAGAGAGAGACCAGAGAGAGAGACCAGAGAGAGACCAGAGAGAGAGACCAGAGAGAGAGACCAGAGAGAGAGACCAGAGAGAGAGACCAGAGAGAGAGACCAGAGAGAGACACCAGAGAGAGAGACCAGAGAGAGACACCAGAGAGAGAGACCAGAGAGAGACCAGAGAGAGAGACCAGAGAGAGAGACCAGAGAGAGACCAGAGAGAGAGACCAGAGAGAGAGACCAGAGAGAGACACCAGAGAGAGAGACCAGAGAGAGACATCAGAGAAAGAGACCAGAGAGAGACCAGAGAGAGAGACCAGAGAGAGAGACCAGAGAGAGAGACCAGAGAGAGAGACCAGAGAGAGACACCAGAGAAAGAGACCAGAGAGAGACCAGAGAGAGAGACCAGAGAGAGAGACCAGAGAGAGAGACCAGAGAGAGACCAGAGAGAGACCAGAGAGAGACCAGAGAGAGAGACCAGAGAGAGAGACCAGAGAGAGAGACCAGAGAGAGACACCAGAGAGAGACCAGAGAGAGAGACCAGAGAGAGAGACCAGAGAGAGAGACCAGAGAGAGAGACCAGAGAGAGACACCAGAGAGAGACACCAGAGAGAGACAACAGAGAGAGACAACAGAGAGAGACCAGAGAGAGACCAGAGAGAGAGACCAGAGAGAGACACCAGAGAGAGAGACCAGAGAGAGAGACCAGAGAGAGACCAGAGAGAGAGACCAGAGAGAGACCAGAGAGAGAGACCAGAGAGAGACCAGAGAGAGACCAGAGAGACCAGAGAGAGAGACCAGAGAGAGACCAGAGAGAGACCCAGAGAGAGAGACCAGAGAGAGAGACCAGAGAGAGAGCCAGAGAGAGACCAGAGAGAGACCAGAGAGAGACCAGAGAGAGACCAGAGAGAGAGACCAGAGAGAGAGACCAGAGAGAGACCAGAGAGAGAGACCAGAGAGAGACCAGAGAGAGACCAGAGAGAGACCAGAGAGAGAGACCAGAGAGAGAGCAGAGAGAGAGACCAGAGAGAGACCAGAGAGAGACCAGAGAGACCAGAGAGAGAGACCAGAGAGAGACCAGAGAGAGACCAGAGAGAGAGACCAGAGTGAGAGACCAGAGAGAGAGACCAGAGAGAGACACCAGAGAGAGACACCAGAGAGAGACACCAGAGAGAGACCAGAGAGAGAGACCAGAGAGAGACCAGAGAGAGAGGGACCAGAGAGAGAGACCAGAGAGAGAGACACCAGAGAGAGAGACCAGAGAGAGAGACCAGAGAGAGACCAGAGAGAGAGACCAGAGAGAGACCAGAGAGAGACCAGAGAGAGACCAGAGAGAGACCAGAGAGAGACCAGAGAGAGAGACCAGAGAGAGACCAGAGCCAGAGAGAGAACCAGAGAGAGAGACCAGAGAGAGACCAGAGAGAGACCAGAGAGAGACCAGAGAGAGACCAGAGAGAGACCAGAGAGAGACCAGAGAGAGAGACCAGAGAGAGAGACCAGAGAGAGACCAGAGAGAGAGACCAGAGAGAGACCAGAGAGAGACCAGAGAGAGACCAGAGAGAGAGACCAGAGAGAGAGCAGAGAGAGAGAGCCAGAGAGAGACCAGAGAGAGACCAGAGAGACCAGAGAGAGAGACCAGAGAGAGACCAGAGAGAGACCAGAGAGAGACCAGAGAGAGAGACCAGAGAGAGACCAGAGAGAGACACCAGAGAGAGAGACCAGAGAGAGACCAGAGAGAGAGACCAGAGAGAGACCAGAGAGAGACCAGAGAGAGGACCAGAGAGAGACCAGAGAGAGAGACCAGAGAGAGAGACCAGAGAGAGACCAGAGAGAGAGACCAGAGAGAGACCAGAGAGAGACCAGAGAGAGACCAGAGAGAGAGACCAGAGAGAGACCAGAGAGAGAGACCAGAGAGAGAGACCAGAGAGAGACCAGAGAGACCAGAGAGAGAGACCAGAGAGAGACCAGAGAGAGACCAGAGGGAGACCAGAGCCTTGATCAGATACATATTGAGCCTGAAGATAATTCTTATCAAAATGTTGCTTTTTTCTTAAATTACACTTTTTTTTCTGTGCTACAGGGAAAGCAGGGAATGTGCCGGATGGTAGTGTCTGTGTGTGTCTGTGTGTGTCTGTGTGTGTCTGTGTGTGTGTGTGTGTGTGTGTGTTACCGGAGTGGAGTTGCGAGGTCGTTGTCTCTGGGTGATGTCTGGAGTTGAGGCAGAGGAGAGTCTCCATCTGTCTGCACTGTTCTGATGAGAGCAGACTGAAACACAAACACACACACAGACACAGACACACACACAGACACACACACACAAACACACACACAGACACACACACACACACACACACACACCCAGACACACACACACACACACACACACACACACACACACACACACACACACACACACACCCAGACACACACACACACACAGAGACACACACACACACACACACACACACACACACACACACACACAGACACACACACACACACACACACACAGACACACACAACACACACAGACACACGTACACACACACACAGACACACACACAGAGACAGACACAGAAGATGTCGACAAAAGCACACACTGGTCAGAGGGTCTCTCTTCTGGTCAGATGTCTCTCTCCTGGTCCGCGGTCTCTCTCCTGGTCAGAGGGTCTCTCTTCTGGTCAGAGGTCTCTCTCCTGGTCCGAGGTCTCTCTCCTGGTCAGAGGGTCTCTCTTCTGGTCAGAGGTCTCTCTCCTGGTCCGAGGTCTCTCTTCTGGTCAGAGGTCTCTCTCCTGGTCCGAGGTCTCTCTCCTGGTCAGAGGGTCTCTCTTCTGGTCAGAGGTCTCTCTCCTGGTCAGAGGGTCTCTCTCCTGGTCAGAGGGTCTCTCTCCTGGTCAGAGGTCTCTCTCCTGGTCCGAGGTCTCTCTCCTGGTCAGAGGGTCTCTCTCCTGGTCAGAGGTCTCTCTCCTGGTCAGAGGGTCTCTCTCCTGGTCAGAGGGTCTCTCTCCTGGTCAGAGGTCTCTCTCCTGGTCAGAGGGTCTCTCTCCTGGTCAGAGGTCTCTCTCCTGGTCAGAGGGTCTCTCTCCTGGTCAGAGGTCTCTCTCCTGGTCCGAGGTCTCTCTCCTGGTCAGAGGTCTCTCTCCTGGTCAGAGGGTCTCTCTTCTGGTCAGAGGGTCTCTCTCCTGGTCAGAGGGTCTCTCTCCTGGTCAGAGGGTCTCTCTCCTGGTCAGAGGTCTCTCTCCTGGTCAGAGGGTCTCTCTCCTGGTCAAAGGGTCTCTCTCCTGGTCCGAGGTCTCTCTCCTGGTCAGAGGGTCTCTCTCCTGGTCAGAGGTCTCTCTCCTGGTCAGAGGGTCTCTCTCCTGGTCAAAGGTCTCTCTCTCGTGGTCAGAGGGTCTCTCTTCTGGTCAGAGGTCTCTCTCCTGGTCAGAGGGTCTCTCTCCTGGTCAGAGGTCTCTCTCCTGGTCTCTCACCGTCGCTGGTGTGTAGCAGAGTGGCTGCACTCCTGCTCTTCTTCAGGAAGGACAGAGTTGGAGTCATTAGTCTCTGAACGATCCTGGACTCCCACGGACTGAGGCGCAGACTACGGCCTGGACACAAGAGGGCGCTGTTACTGAGACTGTTACTGAGGCTGGACACAAGAGGGCGCTGTCACTGAGACTGTTACTGAGACTGGACACAAGAGGGCGCTGTCACTGAGACTGTCACTGAGACTGTTACTGAGACTGGACACAAGAGGGCGCTGTCACTGAGACTGTCACTGAGACTGTTACTGAGGCTGGACACAAGAGGGCGCTGTCACTGAGACTGTTACTGAGACTGGACACAAGAGGGCGCTGTTACTGAGACTGTTACTGAGGCTGGACACAGAGGGCGCTGTTACTGAGACTGTTACTGAGGCTGGACACAAGAGGGCGCTGTCACTGAGACGCCTGAGACTGTTACTGAGACTGTTACTGAGGCTGGACACAAGAGGGCGCTGTCACTGAGACTGTTACTGAGACTGGACACAAGAGGGCGCTGTTACTGAGACTGTTACTGAGGCTGGACACAAGAGGGCGCTGTCACTGAGACTGTTACTGAGACTGGACACAAGAGGGCGCTGTCACTGAGACTGTTACTGAGGCTGGACACAAGAGGGCGTCACTGAGACTGTTACTGAGACTGTTACTGAGACTGTTACTGAGACTGTTACTGAGGCTGGACACAAGAGGGCGCTGTTACTGAGACTGTTACTGAGGCTGGACACAAGAGGGCGCTGTCACTGAGACTGTTACTGAGTTACTGAGGCTGGACACAAGAGGGCGCTGTCACTGAGACTGTTACTGAGGCTGGACACAAGAGGGCGCTGTCACTGAGACTGTTACTGAGACTGGACACAAGAGGGCGCTGTTACTGAGACTGTTACTGAGGCTGGACACAAGAGGGCGCTGTCACTGAGACTGTTACTGAGGCTGGACACAAGAGGGCGCTGTCACTGAGACTGTTACTGAGGCTGGACACAAGAGGGCGCTGTCACTGAGACTGTTACTGAGACTGGACACAAGAGGGCGGGACTTTTGTGCAGCGACCAATCAGAGAGCCGCAAAGTGGTCACGGGGACATTGGCGGTCTGAACGAGCAGACTGAAAGTACTCGTAAACAGCCAAAACAGGAGCTACATCAGGACTAAACCAGGACTAAACCAGGACTAAACCAGGACTAAACCAGGACTAAACCAGGACTAAACCAGGACTAAACCAGGGTTGACAATGGGGGACACAGTGCTTGTTAACATGTGAGTTTTCATGCTCCTGTGACTTTATGCAACTGCTTCGAGCGTGTTCACCAATGTGGAAATACAGTTTAATAATAAAATCAACGTATTGCGCACCTCCGTGAACACATACTGCTGTTATATAAAGTCACCGTGAACACATACTGCTGTTATATAAAGTCACCTGAACACATACTGCTGTTATATAAAGTCACCGTGAACACATACTGCTGTTATATAAAGTCACCGTGAACACATACTACTGTTATATAAAGTCACCTCTGTGAACACATACTGCTGTTATATAAAGTCACCTCCGTGAACACATACTGTGTTATATAAAGTCACCTCCGTGAACACATACTGCTGTTATATAAAGTCACCTCCGTGAACACATACTACTGCTGTTATATAAAGTCACCGTGAACACATACTGCTGTTATATAAAGTCACCCGTGAACACATACTGCTGTTATATAAAGTCACCTCCGTGAACACATACTACTGTTATATAAAGTCACCTCTGAACACATACTACTGTTATATAAAGTCACCTCCATGAACACATACTGCTGTTATATAAAGTCACCTCCGTGAACACATACTGCTGTTATATAAAGTCACCTCCGTGAACACATACTGCTGTTATATAAAGTCACCTCCGTGAACACATACTACTGTTATATAAAGTCACCTCCGTGAACACATACTGCTGTTATATAAAGTCACCTCCGTGAACACATACTGCTGTTATATAAAGTCACCTCGTGAACACATACTGCTGTTATATAAAGTCACCTCTGTGAACACATACTGCTGTTATATAAAGTCACCGTGAACACATACTGCTGTTATATAAAGTCACCTCCGTGAACACATACTGCTGTTATATAAAGTCACCTCCGTGAACACATACTGCTGTTATATAAAGTCACCTCCATGAACACATACTGCTGTTATATAAAGTCACCTCCGTGAACACATACTGCTGTTATATAAAGTCACCTCTGTGAACACATACTGCTGTTATATAAAGTCACCTCTGTGAACACATACTACTGTTATATAGGGTCACCGTGAACACATACTACTGTTATATAAAGTCACCTCCGTGAACACATACTGCTGTTATATAAAGTCACCGTGAACACATACTGTTGTTATATAAAGTCATCTCCGTGAACACATACTGCTGTTATATAAAGTCACCTCCGTGAACACATACTGCTGTTATATAAAGTCACCTCCGTGAACACATACTGCTGTTATATAAAGTCACCTCCGTGAACACATACTACTGTTATATAAAGTCATCTCCGTGAACACATACTGCTGTTATATAAAGTCACCTCCGTGAACACATACTGCTGTTATATAAAGTCACCTCCGTGAACACATACTGCTGTTATATAAAGTCACCTCCGTGAACACATACTGCTGTTATATAAAGTCACCTCCGTGAACACATACTGCTGTTATATAAAGTCACCTCTGTGAACACATACTGCTGTTATATAAAGTCACCTCCGTGAACACATACTACTGTTATATAAAGTCACCTCCATGAACACATACTGCTGTTATATAAAGTCACCTCCGTGAACACATACTGCTGTTATATAAAGTCCCCTCCATGAACACATACTGCTGTTATATAAAGTCCCCTCCATGAACACATACTGCTGTTATATAAAGTCACCTCCGTGAACACATACTGCTGTTATATAAAGTCCCCTCCATGAACACATACTGCTGTTATATAAAGTCACCGTGAACACATACTGCTGTTATATAAAGTCACCGTGAACACATACTGCTGTTATATAAAGTCACCGTGAACACATACTGCTGTTATATAAAGTCACCTCCGTGAACACATACTGCTGTTATATAAAGTCACCTCCGTGAACACATACTACTGTTATATAAAGTCACCTCTATGAACACATACTGCTGTTATATAAAGTCACCTCCGTGAACACATACTACTGTTATATAAAGTCACCTCCGTGAACACATACTGCTGTTATATAAAGTCACCTCTGTGAACACATACTGCTGTTATATAAAGTCACCTCCGTGAACACATACTGCTGTTATATAAAGTCACCTCCGTGAACACATACTGCTGTTATATAAAGTCACCTCCGTGAACACATACTGCTGTTATATAAAGTCACCTCCGTGAACACATACTGCTGTTATATAAAGTCACAGTGAACACATACTGCTGTTATATAAAGTCACCTCCGTGAACACATACTGCTGTTATATAAAGTCACCGTGAACACATACTACTGTTATATAAAGTCACCTCCGTGAACACATACTGCTGTTATATAAAGTCACCTCCGTGAACACATACTGCTGTTATATAAAGTCACCTCCGTGAACACATACTGCTGTTATATAAAGTCACCTCCGTGAACACATACTACTGTTATATAAAGTCACCGTGAACACATACTGCTGTTATATAAAGTCACCTCCGTGAACACATACTGCTGTTATATAAAGTCACCTCCGTGAACACATACTGCTGTTATATAAAGTCACCTCCGTGAACACATACTGCTGTTATATAAAGTCACCTCCGTGAACACATACTACTGTTATATAAAGTCACCTCCGTGAACACATACTGCTGTTATATAAAGTCACCTCCGTGAACACACACTGCTGTTATATAAAGTCAGTGGAAGGTCTCAGACACAGACACGCTGCAAAGCTGCATTATCGGAGAAGAAATTCACACAAGTAGCCGCTAGCTAAACTCTGTTAGCATCAGAGGACTTCTGGTCTGAAGACCCTGCGTCTGAACACTAGAGAATGTGCATTTCAGCGTGGGCGTCCGAACACAGCTTTATAAAATGCTTTTTGGACACTCAGTCTCTTATTCTTTCACTCCAAACACAGCAGTGATGAAGTACTACTGTAGCCACAGCTGCCCTGGGGCACACAGAGAGGAGTGGGAACCGGTCTGTGCCATCAGCCCCTCCCACCACCACCAACCATTCACACACACACCAGACTCATTCTAATGTGGGGGAAGTGTCTTGCCTAAGGACACAACTACAATTTGTCACTTTACAGCCACAGCCGCCCCACTGTGGCACCTGCTGTCCCAGAGGTTAAGTGTCTTGCCCAAGGACACAACAACATATAACATCACCAGGAGTGGAAAATCTGTTCTTTATATTTCTAATTAAGAATATCTCCACTTTAGAATTTCAAATGTCATGTGACTGTTATAGACACGTGTGTGT